AACAGTCGGTACGTCGAAGAATGCATTCACACGCAGTATGCGCTGTATACAGCCGATCAGTGGCCTGCATGAAGGGATATCATTCCAGACCACTGCTGCAATCAGCTGCACATTTGACTATCCATCGCGGAGACCATACATTGGCGAACAGATTGGCTACTGCGGTAGGCAGCGAAGTCGACAAATGCTGCGTTAGGTTCTGGGTTGCCTATGAATTTCGAAGTGCGTGATAGGTTGTGATTTGTTCTTATGGCGCTAGATGCAGATGTGGGTACGCAGAGATAGATTCAGTTCCCATGCCATCGACACACTACCAGGAACAGTTTTGGCGTTCCCAGGAGCTACACTCCAGAGATTCTCCAACTCCGCCTTAACGTGTTTGTCAAGGCTTTGATGCTGCCGTGTGATTGCTACGCACCTCTCAGCGGAGTGACAGACTACACTCCTAGCTGACCACGGAATTTAGCTGAGGTGAGTATATAAAGGCCTCCCATATCCTACTTTCACATCTCTCACCTCACCCCTATATACGTTTCGTTTGCTCCATCCGCTGTCCAATCATGGTCTGTTTCAAATCGTTCTTACTGAGTTTACCGATGAGCTAATACATTACAGCCAAACATCAGAGACCTGCCCAACGAGCTTTTGCTGTGGATTGTGTCGTATTTGGACGGTAGTGCATTATTTGCCCTCACAAAATCATGCAAAGACTTTGATTTTAAACTGCAGCCCAGCATCTGGAAATACAACGCCAAATTTCAGAACAGCAATCTGTTGCACTTGGCCGTCAATTACGACAACGTTGGTCTTGTGGAGGCTTTGCTCCAGCACAACGCCAACATCAATGCATTTTACCGAGGCAAAACTCCTTTAATGAGGGCGCTCAAATACTCTTCCGCTGCTGTGCGGGACCTCTTGCTCAGTCGTGGAGACCTAGACATCAACATTCAAAATCAAGCGCGGGAGAGCGCCCTGTGGTATGCCGTCCGCTACGGAACTTTTTCCACCGTCAAGCGCGTTCTAGAACAACCCAAGGTCCAGGTGGACATCAAGCACAAACACGGCCGAACGGCGCTCCACCTAGCAGTCTTCGCAGGCCGAATAGGGCTCGTGCATCTGCTACTTTCTAGAGGCAGCGACCCTGATCTACAGGATGATTCGGGCCACTCGCCATGGGACCGGGCACGTCGCTTCAATAGGCCCGTGATGGAAATGATTTTTCAAACGATCCGATGGCCGAGGTGTTTCTTGGTACCCGATCATCACAGGAGGCTGAGCTACCTCTTCACCAAGCAGTGGCCTATGGGTCGGTAGATGTTGTCAAACGGCTTCTCGGACAAAAGGGCCTGAATTTGGACATCCAGAACCGGAATGGCTATACGCCGCTCCATCTCGCCATTCAAAGTGATCGCCTAGAAATGGTCAATTTGCTCCTAAGTCACCCCCGTGCCAACGTGGACTGCAAAGACAAAGAAGGCAATACGCCTCTTTGGCTGTCAACGTACTTGTCACACGACGAGATAACCGAGAGGCTACTGGCCGAGAACGGCATCGATGTCAACTTCGTCGGAGGCTACGGGAGGCGCGAGGGGCCTTCTACATCGCTTCATCACGCGGCAGCCAGATTGGACACTGCAGTTTTACGGCAGCTGCTTGCGGTGCCAGGAATAGATCTCAATCACTGTGTTGCAGGCCACTCTCCAATGTCTGCTGCCGCATCGCACGAAAGTGTGGACACGGTTGCTTGTCTACTGAGTATGGCGGGCGTAGAGATTAATGGAATGAATTTAATAGATCCGCCTATTTGTCGAGCGGTTGCACATGGCCATCTCGATGTGGTACGACTTTTAGTGCAACAAGACGCACGTCTGAACATCAACGAAAGCACGATCGCAACTCACGACACTGCTCTCTGCATGGCTGCCCGTGGCGGTGACTTGGAGATGGTCCAGGCGCTGCTACGCCATGATCGAATTGATGTAAGCGTCAGAAGTCAATATTCTGAGGATCCATTGATGTTGGCCGTCAAGGGTGGACATTTCCCGATTGTTGACGCACTTGTGGTCAATCCCGGACTTAATTACTTCAGCCTGAAGAGATCGCTGGATCTAGCAAGGAACGATTGCATCCTGAGGGCCATTCGAAGCAGAATGGAAGACGTCAATACTCCACAAAGATTGTTGAAGCGGTCTCCAAGGGGAAGGTTGGGTGGTCTGTTAGGGCTGGCGACGTCTAACCCAAGTAGCTCTTCCGATGCAATGCGAGACGGCCGATTCATTCGACCCTTCCTCCGCTAGCTATACTGCCCACATTGTCACTGGATCCGTATTTTTGTCTATAATATATTGAATTAATAGAAGTGACCTAGAACAAGCCGGACTATCCGCTGACACACTCCGCAAAGGCTATCATATGCCTTCTTAATGTGAACAACTAAAAAGACATAACCTGGCATGCGCTAATCCTCTTCATTGTGAAATTGTTGGTTATTTTCCACGTTGTAAAAGACATAAGACAAATATGAACATGCAATGCTTCACTCTTCTCTTGCGTTGTCCAAGAACCCTGGTAGATTGAGTCTGGAAGGGTGATCCCAGTCATCGAGTACGCGAGTCAGTCGAACCCGAGATGATTCCAGTGCCTGCTCGAAAAAGCGCAGCCGAGACAGCTGCTTGTCGTGGCGCAGCTGAAGTCCGTCCCTCTCTTTAGTCAGGTGTCTGCTAGCCTCCTTCAAGATCTGATTGCTCTGCTCTAAGTTCTGATCATCGATGTGTTTGGATAGGCGTCGATAGAGTCCGACAATTCGACCTGCTGGAAAGGCAAACTTGGGATCGTCGCGTTCGAGGTCTGTTAGCACCTTCAAAATAGGTTGAAAGGGCTCTGTCGCCAAGGTATGTCTTGTTTCTGCTTCCTGTTGCGAGGGAGAGAGCTGCGATGGTTAGCAAGAGCATTAGAAGCTGAGCCGCTTTACTTACCAGTGGAGGGACTTGATTAGAAGTCTTCCTCGAATTGCCCTTTTCACAAATGGTTGGCAACGCACTGGGCTGTTGTTCTCCTTCCTTTTCCTGGTCTGGCGTGCTGTTAGGGGCATCCATCTCAACCATGATCACGAGTTCAAAAGTTGACTCCCGTCAACAAGGACGGCCAAGCTTCAACGGGTTGACGGGTTGAGTACTGACGCTTTCCGCAGCCTAGAGGGACAGAACCACACACAGCGCAGACAATCAACACTCGAGCGAGGCCAGATAATTTCCATGTTTTTTAGATGAAAATTGTGAGCGCTCTTGGTAAGTTCAAAGAATGAACAGCTTCGGTTGCCTCAGTATTATGACCGTAGATTCAACAGTGACCCAACGTTTCTTAACCGACTCACTTTGACTCACTCTCTACTTGACTCTAGCATGTTTTCTCGGTGAGCATCTAAAGCCAAACCAAGAAATTTGCTGCAAATAGTTGCGGTATATGTTACAACACGCCTCACCTAGGATAGGCATTGTGTCTTTCAACGTTTGCCACCTAGCAGAGCACGTACGCGACAGGAGCTGAGAAGCCTATAAATACGTCCTCTCCCCACGAGGTTTGTTTTACAATTCCATCACTTGGCCACGCAAAGTCGAGCAGGCCTTGCGTGTGAGGAAACTGATAAGTTCTTCCCTTCAACCCTACTGAAATTTCCACTGTACTGACATCTATGGATACATCGTGGGCCGACAAGCTAGAAATTGCTTGTGAGAATGAGATTCCCACCAGGTCCACTATGCCACCCATGCCAGCCGATCAAGAAGCAGATTGGGGTTAGCTGGTCAAAGCAGCTATGCGAACATCTGTCCACCATAGCAGCCGACCACTGTCCCGCCCCTGAATATATCGATGCAAAAGAGGTTTTCGCACAGGTATGTAGATTTCAACGCAACCCTTCCGAAACTGGACTGACTTCAAAGACGATGCGAAAGAACTATCCATGCGTTCCGTCCATTGCGCGCAAAGCCACGAACCCTTTCCGGTGTCTTCTTTCAGAACAGGTAAGTCACTCATTGTCTCGCCGACAAAAAGCTAATGATGGACAGGAAACCGTTGACAGCGCACCAAAGTGAGCCCGAACCAGCACTCCGTCAGTGCTCCACGCAGAGTCATGGCTTACACACCATTTCTGGCCCTGTCGCTTCAAACCATGCAACATGTCCTATGTAAAATACTGCAGACAAGGCTGCGGGCCAACAGCAGGATGCATAAGCCCCAGACGTTCGTTGTACACGATGAGGTGAGTGCAATGTCACGCCTCCTGCTGCGCCGGGTCCGATAATCTGTGCCAAGTCTGGTATCCCAAACACAAAAACCACTGACATCTTCATGCCGTTGTAGGAGCAGCCCATCACCAATCTCGAAAACTGTTGTGGCGAGTAACCTATGCCCGCCGAGTCAGATAAGACCAAGGGGCCGACGCGCTCCATCGCGTCTTACGCCCTCCACCTCAGCGCCTTCATGCACCCAGGCCTCAAATTGGCGGAACTTCTGGAGCGCTTCATGCTTCCATCTCATGGCATATATATGCCCACGAGCCACGAGAATAATCGTCAGTAAAAGTGATCACGTACCTGGAGCCATCTTTGGCAATCGGTATTTCCATAATGTCCGAATGGATCGATTCAAACATTCTCGATGAGTGCAGACGTGGCCGCCTTGCAGGGAGTTCCTCTTCTGATGCTGCTTACCCGACATGCACGCCGGGCACTGCGGTGTTCCAGCAGCTGCGCCTGGGTCAGCGGGCGGTACGGGGTGCCGGTCTGCCGGAGGACCACCCTCAAGTCTCCCCGGTTCAGATGTCCCATCCGAGCGTGCCACAACGCTTCGGAGGCCTGGTCCACTCCTTTGCACGCATCGTCTTCGAGTATCACAGCTTCACTACCGAGTTCAGAGGTTGACGTTGCGCATTCTGCGTCACTTGACTCCCGAGGCTCGTCGACGTCCATGGCCACCGCCTGCGGTTCCAGGGAATCTGCATGGTCATGGGTCGTCGGCGCCCTCGCCAGTTGGACTCGCTCTCGAGATCTCTTGCTCACATGGCACCGCAGGATCAACAGATCCTCCTCCGCATGGTAGGCGGTCCCCACGGTTCGTCCTCGGCGTTGCACAAAGACGTTCTGCGGGTGCGCCACCACCGAGTAGCGGCCTCGCAACAGCTTCGGCACGCTGATCAGGTTCATCCCGACGCGTGGCGCGAAGTACGCATTCTTTAACACCAGGGGTTGGTTGCACTTCCCCCGCGGCGTGAGCTTCACCGTACCAATCCCTTCGGCTCCACTGGATCGCCCGCCATGTCCAGCATCTCGCGGTAGGGCCGCAGACTACTGAAGCAGCCCCGGTCCCAGCAGATGTGGCTGGTGGCGGCCGAGTCCAGGATCCACCGGGGTTGCGGTGCGTGGGTAAAAAGGGTCGTCACCCTCGCCCTCACGATATTGATCCTCGGTCTCTTGAAGTCGGCGGGCCCTGCCGATCTCCCATCTGGCTTGATGGTATATTTTGTAAATTATTTCTTGGCGAGCCGGAAATACTCCGTTCAGCCTTCAGGGCATGGTCCCTGGACGGCTGTACTTCTCGCTGTTTCTTCCAGCACTGCGCAGCCACATGGCGGCGCTTCTTGTAATAGTTGTATTTCTTGGCAGTCTGCTGCACCGTATGGACGGACGGGCCAGACGCTGCCTGCAAGGGTGTTAGAGACTCTTTCCTCCGAACCGTCTGTTCGGCATTAGACAGACGGTTTCCGATCGCGGTCGGACTCACCGGATCCTTGTCATTCTGAATGGCATCCACAATCAGGACATATTCCGGTCCGATCTGTGTCAGCAAGATCGCGATGTGTGCTCGATCGCCAATCGATCCGGGCGCGATGGCATTCTATCGATGTACCAGCAACCGTACATGATCAACGAATTCGCGCGCACTGCCGCAGCGCTCGCCAGTGGTTTCGCGAAGCTGGGCGAACAGCTCGCAGAACGTGGCGAGTTCCATCCGTCGGTAACGTTCTTCAAGTTCATTCAAGAGAAAAGGGCATTGAAAATTGGAGATATTTTGATGGGGCCGGGGTGTTGTTAGAACTTACGAGGTGTCACTGTACACTTCCAACCTTTGGTACCCTTTTGTTTTTCCCACGCAGTCTCCGGGTATCCTCGAATGGCAATTGCATCAGGCTGAGCCGCTTTCGGAATAAAATTGATGGTGCCAAGCTTTGGCAAGCCTTTCCACGCGGTGAGAAAGAGGGGTTGTGGATCGGTCCGCGGCGAACGCTGGCTTGGCGGTCGCATACTAGACGTACTCGCTGACAACTTGTAGATAGAAGCACGCAGCTATTCGTTGAATATGCCGAGCTTAGCTCTAAGTGGCGGCCTGACCTGATGCATAGATGAGAGCTAGATGGTGGTCTTAGGAGTATCTGTCCAAATTACTTAAGTTTCATTACCAGATTAAGAGGAACATTATCTGTCATTTTGTCATTGTCCCGGCCTATTCCGAAACGCAGCGGTAGTATAAGCCTGAATATTGTCCACAGTTGTCAAAGAACGGCCAAAGTGGAACGAAAAATTTAAAGGCACCAGCAGAAATGCTTCGAGTGTAGCGAGCGACCTGTGGGAAGGAAAAGGCAAAGGAGAAAAAAGAGACGGAACGAAAACGGCGCCGAGAAACTCCATTTATCTCTGAAGGAGTAGCGGCCAATAGCACGGAGGGCAGTGCGGGTTTACTTGGGCGGCAGACAGAGTTGAGAGTGCTGAGAGTTTACAGTGTAGAAAGGACGCGACAGGCCAAGGATGCGCCGGCCGTTCGGGCCGCAGCGCTGCCATTCATCAAAAGCTTAATTTTCCAAACGAGCTGTTTCCCTCTTTCTACCGTGTGTACGTGGTTCCCCCTAGTACCAAGTACTCGGGCCAGGGGCCGGATTGGCATCTAGGAATTGCGGTCCGGAATCCGTCGTATCACACAAGGAACAGGACAATTTCTATGAATCTGGCTTCCAAACTGCAGAGGTACTCCTCAAGTCACCAATGAGAATAGTTAGAGTTCCAGCTCAACGGTACAGTATAAGAATTACAAATACAGCTACAGTCAACTCTCGCTTATACCACGGTGGGATATTGCACATTCTTGATAATAACACATCCCTTGCTTGGATGGCCCCTTCATTCCAGTTTTTTCCATATAAATTGACAGAATATAACACATTTTGTTTTACCACACTTTCTTCCTCTCGAATCTGCTTAGTCAGCGCAATCAACCAATCAGAATGCCTCAATCTACAAGCTCTCCTACCCTCCCGACCCCACCCAAGCGCGTCAGAATGGGACCAAAGCGTACCAAATTGGGTATATCAGACGCGCAGAAACAGGCACTACGGGCATTTTGGTCTAATACTAGCCCAAAGCCCACGCAGACTGCATGTGCTAAGTGGTTTGAGGACCAATTCAAACAAGTGATTGACCGGTCAACCATATCAAGGATCCTTTCATCCAAATACAATTATCTTGATACGGGCCCTGCAGGGGCAAACAAACGATCTTCATCCTCTCATTGGCCATTATTGGACCAAAAGCTATATGACTGGGCAGATAACCATATTGGCAATGGAATACCAATAAATGGCCCTTTGATCCAAACTAAAGCAGCTGAGCTTTGGAGACAAATACCGGAATACAAAGATCGGACCAAACCTCAATTCTCTGAGGGTTGGTTAACTCGCTTCAAACAACGCCACTCTCTTCAATATCATACTTTCCACGGAGAAGCTGCCTCAGTCCCATCCTCGGTACATGATCAGATCAAAAGCACCAAATCGATTTGCAATCAATTCAAACCGTCCGAAATCTACAATATGGATGAAACTGGCCTATTTTGGCGACGTATGCCAAATGGTGGTCTTTCAAAGGGAAAAATTGCTGGCAAAAAGCTTGATAAAACACGAATCACTATTGTTGTTGCATCAAATGCGGATGGTTCCGATCGAGTCCCTTTATGGTTGATTGGCACAGCAAAAACCCCTCGCGCACTCCGGGGGTTAATTTCCGAGCTCTGGGATGTGTTTGGCGTCACAACAAGGCAGCATGGATGCGTCATGACATTATGGAGGACTGGTTGCGATCTTTCTATGGGCGTATTCCCTTAGATAAGAAAGCTTTGCTCCTTTTAGACAATGCTTCACCACATGTTATTGGACTCCAGCGAGCGCCACCACCACCCCGGATTACGGTTGTTTTTTTGCCAGCAAACGCAACTTCAATTTATCAACCCTTGGACCAAGGTATTATCCAAAACTTGAAGCACCATTATCGGAAGAAATGGATGCGCTATATGATTGCTTTTCTTGATCGTGGGATAGACCCAAAACAAAGAATGAGCATTTATTATACTGTTACCTGGGTAACGCAAGTTTGGAGAACAAGTGTATCAGACCAAACGATTATCAATTGCTTTAAACAAAGTACTTTGATTAGTCCAAAGTCTATACCTATACCTGAGTCCGCGCCCGAGTCCGCACCTGAGTCTGCACTATTTTCCGAGCCCGGATTGAGTGATGAGATTGAAAGTCTATATAATCAAGCAATTGATAAGCTTGGTGATAAAGATATTGTGCCATTTGACGAGTTTTTGAACCCTTCGGACGAAGACATGTTAGAAGATGGGACTGAAGGGCGAGATGAGACCAATGAGCAAGATATATATATTGCCCCAACAACCTCAGAAATTCAGGATATTGACATTGATGGGCCCCCACCTGAGCTTCTGTCTAATTCTGCTATATTGGACAGCCTCCAGGATATCCTACTATGGGTTTGTAGCAAAGAAAAGGGTACCTCGGACCATATTAGACAAATTGAGAGCTTAATCAGCGACTTTGGCAGGATTCAGATTGATGAGAAACGTCAGGTGACTTTGGATCAGATGATGGGATGGAAGACTAAATAGGTATTAGGGCTTAGAGTTAGCTTGTCAAATATTATGTCATCCTCTCACCAAAACACAACTCAATTATACCACGTAATTTGGCTTGGATAGTATGCTGTGGTATAAGCGAGAGTTGACTGTATACTTTTTGCAGGATGTTGAAATACACCGGACAGAAACGTATAACGTATTCTGTAAGCGAGTGGTGTACCCCAAAACACCATACGAAATACGATATATTCTACACTGATATCTCAACAACCATTTTTTATTTTATTTTATTATTTGCCGTTGATAAGGCTTTTCAGCACTATATATCAATTTTGACGGAATCTAAAACCTACATTGTTACGGTATCGAAAATTACGCTACTATGAGCTAGCATCATATATATCTTATCCACTATGTTACAAACATTCTCTAAATTCCCTGAAGTGCCTAGATATCACCAAAAAGCATTGTGCTAGAAGGCAAAGTCCCTATAGACCACCATTGTTGAGATACCAGGTTGTAATTTATCCCATTTAGTACGGTGTTTTGGGGGTGAACAACTCGCTTACAGAATACCTTTAGATATAGTTATAGTTTACGCTAAGAAATCGAGCGGGGTTACAAAATCCAACTTATAGGCTCACAGCTCAAATGGCGTTTAACGTCGTAACTTAAGTTTCTGATTACACTATGCCTTTAAGAGGCATCAAGCTTTATGGTAACCATTGAACGACAAGCAAAACCTTCTGCTCAGAACGCCTGTTACTTGCTGTTAGTGTAAACCCACTTCAGTCTAGACTATTGTCTCAGGGAGATTAACCTCGGTCATAACCGTTCTTTTTACGGACAAAGAGTAACCCACTGGAATGCCGAGAGCTCGAGTTGCTGATCCAGTTTTTTGCCAGCGCTTCTGTAAACCACTTGTCGAAGGCGGCTTCTTCACGCGGTGTGAGTCTCTGAGGGCGTGTATTGAACCTAGGCTCCTCAGTTACGTCGATTCTCACAGGGCGGTCCATATCAGATGGTCAAAGATAGGGAGTGAAGTGAGTCATTGCTTGACCAAGAGGGTCTCTATCTACGGCGGGCCCGGGTCAAGCAATGATAGACTTTACCCCGCATCTTTCCTACTAAACCCATTTAGGATAAGGTTCAATGTTTCTTTTTTACTTTATTTCGATTTCTATTTTACCTCGGCATGTTATCTCGGCATGTCATCGTAGTATTTTCGATAAACTTTCGATAAAGTACCAAGTTTTATTGTTGAGAAAAGGAGAGAGGTATTGACCATATGTATATATTAATATGCCTGCCAAAATAACTGGACTGGTGGTCTATGTAACATTCCACAATTCCTATATATAGTAGGCGATAAAGGGAAAAACGCATTCTCCACCACACGTTTCTTGTTGTCGTG